TTCTAAGTAAAAGGTATTATTTTTTAATATAATCAGTGATTAATTTAAAAAATTGCCAAAATGTATAACTACCAAATTCGGTAATTGTTAAAGGTATATTATGTTTAATATAATCAGTTATTAATTAATGATATTATAGCGATATTAATGTAATTTTTTTATTGCTTAATAATGAATGAGTACAACGTTCGAAGGAATATCTTCTATGCAAAAGGTAATTAATTTAATGTAATCATTTATTTAATAAAGTAATTTTTTAATTTAATTAATGGATATTAGGATGATGAGAGTAAGATTTATATATAAGACGATCAATATCATTAGAATTCTTTTAATTTTTTTGTCAACTTAAAATTTTATCAAAACATGGGTAAAGAAAGCGTTTGCCGAAACCAGAGAGCAGTAAAATGGGTGCTAAGAAGAAGTCATGTAAACATAAGAAAAGAAAATGTAAGGTTTATAAAAAGTGATAACTTTAATATTTCATTAACACAACAATAATCTATTATTTAGTAGATGCGAGTTTTATTGTGTAAGCAGTAGCTCAAGAAGTCGCAGCAGTATTTAGTAAGAGGAAAGGAAGAGCAAGATCAACATTGCCCTTAAGCTCTAGTAGCTCAGGAGCTACTAGTAGCAAAAATGAAAGTGGGGTGGATGATAAATCGTTTAAAAGGAGAAGAGGTAGATCGGTTAGTAAGAGGAAAGGTAGATCAGGTAGTAGAAGTAGTGGTAGGTCAGATAGTAGGAGCACAAGTAGCAGCACTAGCAGGTCTAGTAGCAGTAGTAGCAGTTCAAGTGAAGATGTACCAAACCATTGACAGATGAGCAGAGGTCTCACTTACGAGTAAATACTATTTGTCTCACGTTTGTGTGTTCATCTGTTTTTTACTTTTATTATTATTATTGTTATTATAATTAATGTTATTATAATTAATTTACTTTTATTATTGTCATTATAATTAATTTACTTTTATTATTAATATTATTATAATTATTATTACCAAGGCCGAAATTAAAGTATTAATAGAAGGTGGTAAGCTTTCTGACCTAAAGCCTGATCTGGCTAAACAATGGACAAGCCAATCGCGGGATGTGAGGCAAAAGCTGATTCCAGCTATTACAAAAAAATTACCAGGATATCGGCACCATTCTGACGCAATTGAAAAAAATTTAAAACAGCATCATAAGATGCAGCGTCAGACAGCAACAATAAATGCTGATCCAAAATTAAAGGCCTACAATCGCGCCAGAATGGGGAAAAATAGTAAGGTGAATGAGGTAAGCATAATAAAATTTGTCATGTAAATTATTTTTTAAATCAATTCTAGAGTTACTTGACTAACAAATCATTTATCTGATAAATCGGTAAGAGATTACCAATATATTGGGTAAATGATTTGTTCTTAGCCCACAAATCATTTATCTAATATATCAGTAATCTCTTACCGATTTATCAGATAAATGATTTGTAAGTGAAATATAATAATTTAAATTACTGTATTATAGAAGAGGAAAAGAAGACAAAAAGCATTAGCACGTTGGTATTCTGTACCAGGTTATGCAGATCATATGCAAGTACCATTACACATGTGACCCCTGACATTATGATAACCAATAAAATCGATTAACAATACTGTAATATATATAATTAATATAGAATATCGAATATATATAATTAATATAGAATATCGAATATATATAATTAATATATAATATCGATATTGAGTAATTTAAAGTTTATTATGTTTAACAGATCTGTGATGTAAGATTGCATAATAAAAAAAAATACTAAATAAGAGGTTTGATCAGCACATGATAAAACTTCTACTTGGATTTTTCAGTAAATTTTACCTAACATTGATAAATATTGTTTTTGTTGGGCGTAGTATTCAAAAGGAGACATTGACTGCAGAAGGGGATGAGGTGTTAAAAAAAAAATTTAAAATAACAAACGTAGTAAGTACAAAAGAACGAATAATAACATTGAGTGAATTTTTTAGTATGGTATTTAACCTCATACCAATTAGTAGGATAACGATATTCACTAAGGAAAGCTTTTTTTTATACACTATAAAAAAGGCAAGAATATATATATATTAGAACCTTTAACATCATGATATAAAAACCTTAAATAATAACAATTCATAATTTTGTTTTACTGAATAATAAATTAAGTATATGTGAAGATACTGGCAAAGGTATTGGCAAACCAACGTGTGAACATAAAGGATCTAGAAACCTGATTTTCAAATATGAAGGTATTAGCGAACCAATCATTGAATGCGAAGATATTAGTGAACCGATTATTAAATACGAAAGTACTGGCGAACCGATTGTTGAATGCGAAAATATTGAAGAAATGATTTTTGAATATGAAAGCACAGGCGAAACACTGTTTGAATATGAAAGTACTTTTGATGCAACTTTTATGTATGAAGGTACAGATGAAGTGTTTTATAAAGGTATTGCCGATGCAAGTTTTAAATCTGAAAATACCGGCAAGACAACGTTCGAATGTACAGATATGGTTAGACCTTTTGAGCATGAAAATACTAGTGATCTATTTCTTAATAATGTAGACAATTAATATATACAGGTATATATGTAAATAAAAATTATTTACTTGGTATATATTGTATGCATTTTTTTATAAAATAAAACCATTTTTAGGAATGTACCTGAGATTTGTTGCCAAATTCTCTTAGAGATGTCTTTCACCCAAACTACAATTATATTATTCACCGTTTTATTGAATTGCCATCATACCGAACTGAAGAAAATTTTGAAATACTTCAGTTTGAAGTTAACGCATTTGTTAATGTTGGAACTTTAGAAAGTATAAAGGCATGGTATTCTAATTTTGAAAATCATTCGAAGACAACAATATCACAAACAAAGGGATATGGTGTTAAAGGAAAACGTGTAATTTTTCGTGAATTAAGACATTATATCTATAGTCAAAAAGTTAAGGACAAACAAGGAAATTCTGAAAATAAATATACACAACAAAGCACACACAAAAGAAATATTACATGCAAAAGGAATACAGAATGCTCAGCAACTATGAGCTTAAGATTAGAACATTGTAATGTGAATACCAATTATCCATTTGAAGTTAATCTTTGTTTTATGCATAACCATGTTATTAATTCAGCAGAAGCACTTAGCTTTCGCCGTGTGTACGAACAAACCTATAAAAAATATATGCAACTGTTTCGCGATGGACATTCTTCTGCAAGTGCGTTGTATATTTATGAGGATGAAATTTATCTTTCTGCCTTATCAAATGAGGAGCTTATTAGAACACTTGCTGATCGTGCTATTAATCCTAGTTATGATGATGTTAAAAACATTTTTAATAATTATCGTAATTTACAACTTGGTAGTAAAAATAGAACAGCAATGTTTAAACGATTATCAGAAGAAGTAGAAAATTATAACACTTCTGGACGTGGTCAGGCAATTCTTCAGGAATTTAATTCACAAAGTGGAAAAGCACTTATTTTATGTATTGTTACTGGACTAATGAGTAGGGTTTATGAGCGAATTATTCAAGTGGGTGAAATTTGCTACGTAGACGCGTCCGTATTATTTGAACCATTAAATATGTCGATAACATTATTTTATACTAGTTGCATCGTAGGTGCATTACCATTAGGTTTATTCATAACGTTAAATGAACTTGAGATTACTATTAAAGAAGTGATTAGTATCTTTAAAAAGATTCTTCCAAAGCATGCGTTTTTTGGTCGTTGACAAAATATTGGGCTCCAATTTTTTTTAACAGACGATTCAGCTGCTGAAAGAAATGCACTAAGGTTTAGTTGGCCTCAATCGAAACAATTTTTATGTACATTTCACATTCTTCAGGCTTTTTGGAGATGGTTATACAATTCTAAGCACAGTATTAATAAGGAGCATTGACCATTAATAATGAATATAATGAAGAAAGTTCTTTATGCACAAATAGCAAATGAAATAGAATTTTATTATCAGCAACTTAAAGAGAGCTATTATCAGCTGTACCCTTCACTTAAAAGACACTATGAACATCTTTGGGCTCGTCATGAATATTGGACACATTCTTTTCATATAGGTTTATTAATATGCGGCAATTATACAAACAATTACATCGAGTGTAGTTTCAGTTTACTTAAGGATATTATCTTTGGAAGGACCCAGGCATTCAATCTGGTTCAAGTGTTTCGTTTTATTGTAGAAAACATGAAAAGATTTTATGAGTGTCGCTTATTTGGGTTTGCATATCAAAACCATAGTCATATGAAGGTTACAAGAAGATTCTTGTGCCCTGGCTGGGAAAAGATTAATGAAAACTTGATTCAAAAGTCTAACCATGAAAATGAATATTTGGTTCAAAGCACAAGTAAAAAGGATCTTGTATATACTGTGAATAGGACAATTGGAACTTGTAGTTGTCCCATCGGAATGTCAGGTGCTCTATGCAAGCACCAAGGTGCTGTTGCGGCAAAATACCATATCAGAATAATTAATTTTTTACCTTCATTAGCTATTAAAGAACGCATGATTTATTTATATGTTGCAAGTAGTAAGCTATCTTGTATGCACATAGGCAATAAAATTCATGTATATTAAAAATATGTTCTATTATAAATATTGTTATAATTACAAATATATTATTAAACTTTATTAATATTAAGGTTTGAATATGGAGAATGATTCTTTCTATGCATCGTTGCACACAAAACCTGTTATACCTGAAAATACTGAAGTGCAAGTGCAAAATAACGAAGAACAAAACAATAAAGAACAAGGGTCCCTATTATCATTACGGCATGAATTGCATGATATTACTAATTCAACAAGTATTGATACCAGTACCGATATTATGATGAACCAGTTAGTTATCCTTTTTTTTTTATTATTATTATTAATTAATTAAATTAAATTAAATAATACTTTTTTTTTTAAGAGAATCTGAGAATCAAGTTGACGATTTTTCCTTTGACTCTTTTTTGAAAAGGTCAAAGAAGACTATGAGAGTAATAATCCACAACTGCGTTTAGCATTGGATAAGTTTGCAGAGCAATATAAAGCAGCCAAATCACTATCTATTCCAAGATTGAATTCTTTTCTCTATGACCTTAATCGTAACTCAGATCCTTTGGCACGCATCAAGAGTGGTAGAAAAATTCAAGTGCAAGTCAAGTCTATAAAGCGAAGGAAACCAAATACGAAACGGGTGCATTCTGAAAGTAATGAAAATGACATTCAAAATATTCCCAAACATAAGGCAAGAATGATAAGCAAAAAGGGGCATAATTTGTAAAAAAATGTTTTAAACAATTCATTAAATTAATATATAATGAATGTTTATATAGCATATCATTTAAACTGTTCATTTTTTTTTATTTGTTTAATAAACCTGTGGTTTAAATATAAGTATAGCACTTGCAAATTTGTATTTTCTAATATTGCAGTATTAAGGATAGGGTAAATGTAGATCATTTTCTATATAAGTATATCAGCTAAAAAAATTTTACGCAAAAATTAAACACATGTTATATATAAAAGTTTTTAAAAATACAATTTTTTTTTGTAAAATTTTTACAGTATATACATTAAACCCATCTAATTATAATAATAGAATTTGAACCTTTGTTATATTCGAAAAAAATATACTTACATATATCGTTAATTCTTCCTAACTTAATCGAAATTTGCCTAAGTTACACAATATAAATAACATATGATCATCACCTGATTTTAATTAAATGTTATTGTAAAAAATTTTAGTAACGTAATCACTATTGAAATGTAGATCATTTCACCCTACCCTTAAATGGATAAAATGAAAATGGCATAGTAGGTATGCACAACATTGTACATGCGGGAATTTACTTGTAAATATGATAGCTTGAAATATTTCTACATACGCATTTATTATTTTAATATCTTCATATTGATTGAAAGATATTGTTTGTCAGTATCTCTCTATTAAAAATTATTTCACATTCGAAGTCATTTCACTAGCACTTTTATATTTAGGTGCATTGTCAATATTGTTAAGTAAAAAGTCAATGTTAATAGTTATGTATATTTTTTTTATGTGTTTCTTATGAAGTATAAACACGCATATGTATATACGTACAAATGTTTGTACCAAATTTGAACAACGTACATTTAAAAAACTATAAAAGAGGTGATTTAGAGAGGTTAAGTAAATCTTTGGGCTTGAATTTAGAAGTGATTATGCGCTTGGAAAAGGTACATTTAGAGTATTTAAAGCGGATAAGTAGCACATTTTTAAAATCGATTTTTATTGGTTACTATAATGTCAGGGGTCACATGTGTAATGGTACTTGCATATGATCTGCATAACCTGGCACAGAATACTGACGTGCAAAGCATTATCATATTTAATAAAGGTGGGAAATAAAAGCATTAGAAGATATTCACAGAATAACCTGGAGAAATTAACAAAAAGCAAAGGAGGGAATCCCTATCATTCTGATGAGGAGTGGAAGACAGATGAGGATCAGTCGATGGTCAGTGAGAAGGTTAAGAAGTTAGTTTGTATTGACAAATGGTGGCAAGGCTTTAATGTAAATAAATATTTTACTGGTGCTGAAAAAAAAAATAATGTTGATCAATTTTAAAATATTATTTATACATGTTTTTAATTTTTTACTACGTAAAAAATCGTATTATGAGATAAAATTAGCCAGCATTATTTATAATACTGGCTAATTTAATCTACTTTATTAAACTATAATAATATAAATATTATATTAACAGACTATCGTCTTACTTATTTAGTTAAAACGGCTATTTCATAAGCATATTGATCTATTTGTGAAACAACTGTAGGCAAAGAACAATAGAATGCATAAATGGCATTATGAAGGGCAAGTTGATATGACTGGAATGCTACCACCTGATTGCCCAAGATGGGCATTATCAAAAGAAGCTTTAAACCTATTTAACATTCAGATCCAGAATTTGACGCAGACTTTTCCACTGGAGATGAAGATCCACGTAAGAAAAAAAAGCGAAAAAAAGTGGTAGTGCGGGTGCAGAAAAAAGTAGTAAGGGAAGTAAAAAGAAAGAAAGAGATGATGATGATAGGAAAGAAAGAGACAATGATGATAGGAATGAAAGAGACAATGATAATAGAATTAAAGAAAGAAGGATGGTAATACTTTACCACTATCACCTAACATTAGAGATTTTGCTGCTACATGGTTTAATGTTACTACAGTAACAACATCATCTGCACGAACTACAACAGCAACAAAAATAGCAGCAGCAACACCAACAGCAACACCAACAGCAACAACAACAGCAGCAGCAACAACAACAGCAGCAGCAACAACGATAGCTGCAACAACAATGATGGCAGCAACAATAAAACAAACTAAAACAGCAGCAACATCATCAAAAACAGGAGCAAAATTACCTTCAAAAGGTACAAAAGGCCTCCCTATGAATGTTATAACAATATCTGACGAAGAGGCTGATATACTAAGTGAAAGTGTTGGCAGTGATGATGATGGTGAG